TGTACACAGTGACAAAGTCAGTCGTACCCCACCTTTATAAAACTGCATGACTATTGCTCATGGTGTATATTTAGACAAGTACAAAAAGAAGGCTCATATATTTTTTTTCATAAATATTTTATCATTGCAAGACCATCCAACATGTACATGGTATGATCAGCTGATCAGGGGTTTAAATTATGGTACACACATTTATTTATATATTCTTTCCACTTTAAGACATGCATCAGCTAGGTTAGGCCAAAGTTATTTTATCTTTAGGTTTACGGATTTTTTCAACCAAAATGTCCATTGGGTGGTGACAAAATAAAAATAAAAATAATTTGAAACTTCTTTCAAACGGAACATTGCTTATATCAAAAAACAAAAAACACCACCACCCTTCTTTTGAATTGGTAAAAATTAGAAACATTTCCTGAAATTTGGATAAATTATTTGCAGTAAATGAGAATCAAATAAAAGGAACTAAAAATGATTTTACTGCAGAAGGTTTACTTCAGATCTTATTTTAAATCATTAAAAAAATCTCTTTTTAAATATTAAAGATGTTGATCATAGAATATTGGGAACATGACACATTCATTTTTTTTTCACAAAAAAACTACTAATTTACTTTGATTAAGATTCATAATCTTGTAAACTATATTATATTAATTATCAAGACAAAGTCACAGATTATCTTTACTCCTTTCAGTGAAACCCTACACTGTTGTCTATTTCCTTTTATTAGCATGACCTTATAGCTACTTATAAAGTAGAATGTCAACAACAAGTCATGTATCTGGGACCTATAACCATGAAAACGATCTATTTATCTGGTCATATTGATTTTTTCATTGTTTCATACACTTATCACACAAAATTTAGCATGTGTCTGGGTTTTAGAAATGAAATTCAAGTTATAAAAAAAAACGTACATAGTCTTTGTGTGCAATTTCTACAATTTTTGTCCAGTTTCAACATATTAATTCCTTATTTTTGAATTAGAAGAAAAATATTACCAATGGGAAAAAATAGCGAAGTTATGTCATTGAAACAGCTGATATTTGGTGGTTATTTTTATTTCCATAAAAATCATAGAAGATTACGTTTTTAACAGGACTCTTTGGGAAAAAGAAATATTGCATCTCCCATAGTTTGCTCTTCTTTCATTTTCTCTGAAAAGTTTCTGGACATCGTGCTATCTCCAAGACATTTTAACTGCACTTTGAAAAAAAGACATATGCTTACACGTTTCTGTTTATAGTCACTGAAACGTTTGAAAGAATGAGACGTTTTAATACATGTTTAGGACTCAGACGCATTATAAATATTAAAACCCTGATGATCAAGCATGAATTTTCCGGAAAATTAACGATTTTAGTGGTGATAAAATCCATTATATTTATTTTCTAGACCCTGAAAAAATCGGGTCGGCGGATCCGTAAACCGAAAGATATAAAAACTGTGGCCTTACATACATTTGTAACAGTTAATTATGGCCTTATGACTCATTCCCTTGTTTTAAAAAATTAATATAACTTCCACATCGATCACTATTGACTCAATGTTTGATAGATACATGCTTGATAAAAAAGACAAGGTAAAGAGTTGAATGACTACTTATTCAATCAGTTGATGTCTCACTAGGCAACATGGTAACACTTACAGATATACAGACAATAAAAAGTTTACAGTCACTAGTTGCTAGCTTGATTAATCACAACATTACCTGGTATTTATAATCATAATAAATTAATTGAACAGGTCTACTATCAAATTCATAAATACTTCATAAAATAGAGACATGTACAATGGAATTCAAGTACATGAAGCTAGTACCTAAATAAAATATATCACAAAAAAATTAATCTCTCCAACTTTCTCAGAATTTCTAGGTTTTGCAGTAAATTAAAATTACAATACATGGATTTACTTTATAGAGTTTAATCAATTGTGTGTGTGTGTTTTTTTTTTTAAATTTTGAAACCCTTTAGATTAATATAGAACAACATAGTTTACAATAAATAATACAAAGACAGAAGCATACATGTGTCAAGCTTTAACTGTCAGAATTTTTATTTAATGACGATCGATTCTCAATGGATTGGCTTGCATTATAATATTGTGCATAAGTTTAACCCCTTTAATTATCATGCAAGCCAATCAATTGTTCACATCATGAAATAAAAAAAAAATTAGACATTTATTCCTTAAAAAAAAATCTCTTTTAATTATATGACAAAAGTAGCATTCAAAATATCAGTGAAACAATTAAGTTACAGAAGTTTGTTACATTTTCATGTTAGAGCATGTAACTTAGAAATTAAAGATTTATTATCCTTCCAATGTTCCATTCATGATTGGGCTGTATGAGATAAAAGACAGGAAGTTCTAACACAAAGACTAAGTGTTCAAAGAGTAAAGGGTTAAGGTTAACCCGGTTTACATGCATTGCATAATCATGATAATGTTAAATGCAGTGAAAAAGTGTGATAAAAGGTGTTTTGTATTCCATTGATTCAAGACATACTGATTTCCATATATATCACTTAAATTCTCTTGGTCATTAAAAGTTCTCACTGACCTTCCATACAAAGACTAACATGTGAAAGCATAATCAATGCAGTAAACCAGAGAAATTTAAGCAAGCACGACCATTTTTTTTCCTACAAAAATGTTTATTGTTCATTGAAAATGTACTTGATATCATTTTGAAATAGACATGCTACAATTAAGTAACATTGACTGATTTTCTTGCCTTGAACACAAGATACATGTTGTGTATCACCTTTAAAAAGATTTTAGAGGATTTGAGCATGAATCCCTAAAAAACCTAAGATATAAGATACATGTACAAGACCCAGAATATAATTTTTAAAAATACATGTGTATACTGTATTACTTTGATGAATTTTTTTTATCTCAGTTCATAGGGCAATTTCTTTCACAGCAACAGAATAAATTATTTCATTTACATGTATTTATTTTTTTACATACTGTATATATTTTTTTATTTTTTTTAACACGTACATTATATATTAATTAATCGTCCCTATATTCTCCTTGTTAAAAATTCTTCTATTCTTGAGGACAAAGGATATTTAGATCATTTTATACTATTTTAATTTAATTTTTTTTTACAGACAACAGGGGAGGAATGTGCTGTGAAGCTGTTCCACGACCGAGTCTCCCAGCACTACGCCGCTGTCCCCTACCGAGAACTGGAGTTACTCCAACGCTTAAAACACCGGAACGTAATCTCCATTTATCATATCCAGAGGGAGGTAAAACAACAGTTATACCATCAAAAAGACTATGCCAACAAGAAATATATATAAAGACGTAAAACAACAGTTATACTATACCATCAAAAAAGACTAGGCCAACAAAGATATACAACAATAAAAACAAGAGTTATGTTTACCATCAAAAGAAAATGTGCAAACATAGTTGTACAACACTAAGTGTATAACATAAAAACCAAGAGACATGTGTGCCATCAGGAGAGAATATGCTAACATAGTCAATTAAATTAAAAGTAGATGTTCTGGATCTGCTACCACTGCCGTTTGAGAAAGGTAGCGGATTTGGAACATCTAATTTTAATTAATAGATTGCCAACAAAGTCTGAATTCAGTTGAACTTCGGTATTTCGTAGACATATATCTTGAATACCATGGATATGTCAAAGTGATTTAGAAGTCCCAACCACATATTCTTTAAGTATTTTACCCTTGATATCTTGAATCCTTGAATATCTCAAAGTTTTTTTCAGTCTGACTGAGATTGAGATAATGAGGTTTGACTTTAGGAAAACAGCAGTTACATATAACTGGAATTTAGATTTAGACTAACACCTCTCTTTTGTTTGTTGAATAATCATATCTAGCAATGTACATTGGATAATTTGTCACATACACAGGAAAAATGTCCACATGTGTTAAACATATGTTTGGTTTCACATGTGTTCAACACATGTTTTATACATGTAATACATGTGTGTAAATAAACACATGTAAAATATGTGTTTCATTTATATGTAAAACATATATAATATACACATGTAATACACCTGTGAGATAATATATATGTTAAACACATGTTTTTCACCACACATGTATAACATGTATTATATATATGTAATATATGTGTGCGAAAATACAGATGAATTATACATGTTTAATTTATATAAAATATATGTGTATTAATATACACATGTTATACACATGTTAAGTTTTATCTCATATGTGTGTGTACATTAATTCAAAAGAATTTGTAAATGTTAGTAAAGTTTTACTTCAAATTGTTTATCCCCCCCCCCCCTTTTCCTTCTAAAAAAAAACTTTCACAATTTTTTTTTCTGTAATAATGCATTTATCAGACAAAATTGATAAAGAATAAATTAATTTTCTTTTCATTTTAAATCTTTTGGGCTTGGCTTACTTCTTGAGTAAAAATAAAAATAATTCCGTATTTGTCTCCGGGCCGGTTTCGTCTTTTATCGGATGAAAATGTACGTCATTTTTGACGTCACTGCTGCAGCAGACGTGCTGGGTGTATTGGAAAGGTAAGTGATCTCCAAACAATTTTTTAAAGACTTTTAATTCATATTGTTTAAATATCATTTCATTATAGTTACAGGCGTATGAACTTTCTATATAACATGTAACGTTAATACTCTTATCATTGTGACTTGTCATGCATTTCGTAAACCTAACGATAGTGATCTGTAAGTAATTTTGGAGAAAAATGTTTCTGAATGAATGTAAGTGGTTAAATTACATGTTAGGCTAAAGGCATTACTATTTTTTTTATAATTTGTATACAGGTAAGTAATTTTGGATAAATTTGTTTCTGAATGAACGTAAACATTACATGTTAGGCTATTTTTTAAAGGCAATAGGCCTATTGGTTTTCCTTTTGTTACGTAACTGATATGAAAGTGAAAGTAGAAACCTTGAAACCATTGTGACTGTCAGTTGGTCACAGTGTTCAACAGTTGGTGTTTACGTATGTTGAGATGGCTGTCAAGTCGATTCTTTCATCAACTTAATAACAAGTGTTTGTTTTTATGGCCTATAGATGCATGCAGTAACTTGAGTTCAGTGTCACAGTGCTGCGTCTAAAAAGCCCAAAGCTGATACGACTGGCGATTGATCCTAAAGCTGATTTGACAGATGATTGCATCATCACAATATTAAAGGTAAAAATAAATAATTGCAAGAAAAACCAAAGTAAACATCTGTAATGACTCCTTCATCATGTTCATGACAAAATATTTCTTGATAATTTCTTTTTGTTCCTTTATAATTCTACATAGTCATTATATTGTTTGCACGACTTCATAAAAAATAAGTCCAACTCAATGCTACAATAATTTTATTCTACATTATAAAACAGTTTTAATCCAGTGCACTTTTAAAATATGGAAAGTATGAATAGAATTTGCTGGCTTTAAAAGCTATGAAACTGGTACATGTACTGTAAATGACTTCAGGGGGAGGGGGGGGGGTAATTGAATTTTTGAATTTTAGTTAAAAATTAATAATAACAGTGACATCCAACTTTCAAGGTACAAGTACATTTGCATATGTGTTGATTGTTGAAAGTACATCAGCTAGCTAATCCATTGGATATTTACATCTATTATGTACCGGTATTCATTACCTGACATTTATAATTTTTTTCCAACACTAGAGAACATAGTTTCTGGTAAAATGTAAGATATTAATTAAGACTATTAAGAACCTACAAACATGTACTCTCTCTTTTTTGTAGTTGTAGTTTAATTAAGTTTTAGTTATGCTTAGAAGATATCTACTGCGTGAATATTTGTTTTACAGGTTCAATATACAGTCAGCATCTCATAAGAATAAATCCCAAGATCCAAGACTTGCTTAAAAGCTTAATTAAGGTAACTACACACTGTTAAATAAACTTTGTTATATTCTTCCCAACAACGTTTGGGATATTCTGGAATCACACTGTCTGTTTTTCTGCCTGTCTACTTCTCTGTAGTATTTTTTGTCCAAAAATAAAATATTTGTGTCAGAATCTTCTAAATTTTTGGCAATATGAATTAGTAATACTGTTTGAACATTCCAAATTTAATTGTCAAAATCAAAAAAAAAAATGCTTTTTACGACTTTATTATGAATCATATCTTCCAACAGTGTAATTGTCTTGCAAATTACATCATAGGATTCCACAAAACACCTAGTATAACATATAACATTAGTTTTATCTCATATCATATCTGTGTAGGTGAATTGGGCATACTTTTCTTTGCTGAACTTTAATATTACTTGTAAAATTGATTTTGTAATTTAAGAATTGTTTTATTTTTACTTTTGAAATTTTTGTAGAGACCATTCTGTGCCACAAAGAAATTGTTCAGGAAAGGGAGAAATGGTGAATTTGCATTTTGGGTACAGTTCAAAGAGAGTTCAAAATGGTCAAGCTCATGGAAGATCAGAAGGAGGACAACTGAAGAAAACTGAAAGATACAGAAGGAAAAAGAACAAGAAAATATATGAAATAATTATGGAATTGGAAGGATGTACACAATCTTGTCTGCATTTGACCTGTAAAGATTTAATTCCCATTCTTATTTGTATCCTGTAATATCAAATAACTTGATTTTTCATAAATTTACAATAGAGAATACATGACAAATGTTATATGTGATATTTCAATTTTGCTTTTGGACACTTTCATGTCAAATCATATAAGAAGAAGGTACAGTTTCAATACAAATAAAGCCCTATATTTTTCTAAAATATGAAAATGATATAAGAAAGTAAAATTTATTTTTTCTGAAACATAGTAATTCTTTGGAGTAAAAATACACATATGGTTTTTCTCATATGACCTTCTAAATGCTAATTGTGACGTCATTAACTTGTGCATTTTCCCGTATTTTCTTAAAAAGTTGCAGAAGACATCAATTTTCAGTGGAATTTCTTTTAGAAAACATACTCTGCCACCGTCGCCCGGAAAGATTTTGAGATATGTGATTTTTCATAGCTGTCTGCATTATATATCCAAAAATTAAAGCGGGCGACGGTGGCAGACACTATTTTCTAAAGTAAAATTAGCAGAAAAACAAGTCATTTTGAAGCCTTTCTGCATTAAACTTAAAAATGTACCAAATTAATGACGTCATATTTCAAGAAAGGCTCTTCTTCATGGCATATTCTCTAATGATTTATCATATTCATCTACTCAACTATTGTTAATGCCAATTTCAAAACTTTTTAAGAACATTAAATTTTTAGGGCACAATATAGCTGAAACTGTACCGTCTTCTTATAAACAAGTACATGGACTAATTATGTTATTCATTTGTACATGTATGCATGTTTAACTATTTAATCATTTTGTGGAAATCTTATGATTTGTACTCAACTTAGAATATGTAAAATATATGTATCGACAAATGCTACTGACTTGTTTGTATACTTTCCTGTTTAGAAAGTACACTGAAAAATAAGTTATTTCTATTGATGAAAATAATATATCAAAAAAGTTGTGTAAGCATTTTAAGATATTAATTTTCAAATATTTAACCCATGAAGATAGATCATTGGAATGTAATGGATTTTCATCTAAAGCAGAAATATCTGATTTTTTAATGTGTACAAGAATGTTTTTTCCTTGTGATAAATATTGAAAGAGAACACATGTAACTATTTCATATGATTTACATATCCTGCCCTTTTCATATGATTCACATACGTGGACAGGCATGAAAAAAGTATAAAAATGATAATAAGTACAACAGTAATATTATACACGTATAATTCACATATAAAGTATAACATATATAAAACACATGTTTAACACATGTTTCATATGTATAAATATACAATGTGTTTATTTTTACACATGTTAAACACATGTGAAACATATGTTTAACATGTGTAAAAATAAACACCCTATACATGTGTGCTCCTTTTATGTGTTTTACATGTGTAAAAAATATATGTTAAACACATGTTTAACATATGTTCAACACATGTGGACATTTTTCCTGTGTAATAAAAGTGCCCAGCTGTCCTGCCTAAAAGTTTGTCAACAAAAATCACAACAAACAGACTGTTGCACGGTTGCCTTGAATGGACAAATTATGCCCTTGTCAAGCCCAGTATCATCCCTTGTAAAGAAATATGCTGACATAGCTTAATCTGAATTAAAATGTTATGCCAACTTCAATTGTACCTTTTTCCAAACAGGGTTAAATGTATTAATGCATGCTATAGCAAATATCAAGTGAATTAAATGTTGTGAAAGTGCATGTACACTAACTCGGTACAAAACATATGCCAGCTAGAATGGCTGTGTGACCAGAATAATGGGGAAGATAAAATGAGGTTTTTCTATAAGGATGTAGAGTGAAGAATGAATACTGCTATCAAGAACAGGAATTCCTCCAGTGCTTTAAATCTAAAGTCCAGTGATGTGTTGTTAGATACTTTCCTTACACCATATGTCACTGACACAGATTGTGGAGCTTGTGACATGTATCATCAGATACTGAGCTAGTGCAGACCTATATACCCATTTATATATTGTCTATACATGTTACAGATGGAGGAAGGTTATTTGATATTTTACAATTTAAAAACACTTGTTAAATTTCAAGAACTCTGAATATATCAAGGGTCAAAAAGATTGATAAGTCAAATTACCTCATCATGAACTTGATAGGACTGAGAAAACATTTCAAGCTAGGATTTGAGATATCTAGGGTAAAAGAGTTTGTGCTTTGGACTTCTAAATTCAGCATGTGCGGTCATATTCCATTGTATTCAAGATATCAGTGTTCGAGATACCAAAGTTCAACTGTATATATGTAAATAAGGTTAAGGGGCATGTGCGTTGTCATTTTTGTAGTCCAACCAAGATAGTGTATGTATTTGTTACAACCAATACAACAAAAACAAAAGAAATTGTCAAAAATTAGACAAAAAAAAAACCACACACCCTTACTCTGTAAATGATACAACCTACCAACTGAAAGCTATATTAATTGTTCTCAGGAAGATACAAGTGGTCCCCCCCTCCCCAAAATTGTGATTTAATTTACTCCCTATTCCCAATTACATGGTGTATAAGAATAAATAACATATAAACATCAGTGACATTTGTTTAAATTTAAATCAAGGAAGTAAATGAATTAAAATTTTCACAGAAACTCTAGAAAGGCACTGTATAAATCTCATATATCTCAACAAGGAAGGTGCCGTATTTAATATGATTGGTTGATCGTTTATAGTATATTCAGATAAATTCCCCAGTCTGCCACATTTATCATGTTTACACTTGTCTAGTTGAATTTAAGTATCTTAATTAATTCTGTGCCCACATTTCTGAAATATAATCAGGAAGATAATTTAGGCACAACTGTATGGAAATCCAATAATGTGCAAAATAAATTGCTTAAAAAAGGGTTTCCATATCACATATCTAGAGACATAATAGAAAAAAGATACATATGTGTACTAGGTTTTACATTTTAAGTAAAATGTAATCATGTATTCCTTATCATTCCTCTGATTATTCATATAAACAATGCTGAATAAATTTTCATGCAAAAGTCAAAAATGGAATAGAGTTAAAAATGTTTATGCAATGTAAATGTTGTTGATACTGGCGGAGTTCATAATACTAAAATACTTTTACTTTTCAAAGAAGAATGGAAACAAAAAAGTTTCAGATTGTCACATCTGCTTGCTTCTATATGGATGAAAATATAGACTATTGAATAGAGGGCATTAATTGTTCCAGAAATAAATACAAACTGTTATCTCAATGTTCCCTGCATTAAAAATACATAATACTGCCTCTAAAAATCTAGCCTTTTAATTCCTGGATCACTTAAAATTCAGGTGAAAAAAGATGAAATTTCTCGATATATGCATGTAGATAATTTCTGGTTGTTATTTTCTTATAGCTGATTATTTTGTGACAGCAGTATTGTAATGCCTATGTAATAATGTCATTGACAGATTACATCCAATAACTATGTTTTGGCGATGGAGTACTGTGACGGGGGCAGCCTGTATTCCATGTTAGATCAGCCCAGGTACTTCTACGGCCTCCCCGAAGAAGAGTTCCTGATTGTGCTATATGACATCGGTAATGTTATAGATTTTCATGTTGTCTTTACAGAAGATATAATATTCCTGGTTACCATAGATTCTCATGTTGCCAATGAAGTGTTCTAATATGCACTTGATTAATTTACATAAATGTCTTCCAGGTGTATGCATATATATAATGCACATGTATCAGCTAGTGTAAACTTCTTAGTTCAAATTTGTCATCCACTTAATTCTCGTACATAATAATCATGAGATGTACTCCATACACTGTTGACATCATCACACTATCACGAATTACTCATAACGTCTTTTGAGAATATGCATGTTGATCAATTTTTTGACTGGGGGGCACCTGAGGTAACAAAAATTAAAATAAAGTTTCTACATTCTAGGCCTACTAGCATGCAAAAGCTCACAATTTTTAAAGTATTTGAGAATAAATGTGTACAAGTTTGAAATGGCAAGTACATGTAATACTATACCTTGGTGGAAACTGTAGGAATCTTGGAATATATAGGTGTAATCCATCCTCTTTGTCTTATTTTTATCTGGTCAACTCTGTGCTTCACTGGGAATGAAAATTTTAGCTGTAAAGTGCTGGAAAATGAGGGCATGGAACAGCTTTACAGCACATTACTTCATTTTTAGCCTGAAAAAAATAATATACCTAAAAAAAATTCCGTACAAAATATAATCAGAAAGTTACGTACATTCTCTAAGGAAATGGGAGAAATCATCGTCGCAAACCACGACCAAAATGTACTATCCTCTCCCATTCTGGCCGTAGTTGAATGAAAAGAGAATTTTTTGTAGTTCATTAAAATATTGACCAATGCGAGTAAAGTATAGTCGGATAATGAACTTTGATGTGACCTTTCAATACCCAATCGCAGTGTATGAAATATTTCTTGTATACTGCTGATGTAAATTGTTTATTTCACTTGCAATGGAAACAACACTTGTCATTGACTGAATATGACTGAATATGACATAACAATCAACACTTTTGTGATCAAATAGCCACGGGTAAGAGAGAGAGAGCTAAATGTGGACTCTGGACTGTGGCTTGACACCATGGGGAGAAATAACCCCTTGGTTTTGTAAAAAAAAAAAAAATCAAACTGTTGAAAAAGAACCAATTTGAAAGTTTAATTCAAAACATGACCACATTACTAATCTCAAATGTCTTATCAAGTATTCTAGCATGGAAAGATTTGTGCTATCAATACTATTTAATTACTGTAAACCAACTTTTATTCGTGTGCGAGAAATTTTCGCGATGTTCGCGAAAGCCTCGTCATCGCGAATATTTCTCGCCACGAACCGGTCCTTAGAGTGTATGTGTTTATTAACAACATATCCAAAAGGGCTTGATCGCAAAAATAAATCGTCGCGAACTAGTTTATCCGTGGTAAATCGCGAAATAAAGTCGTCACGAATAAAAGTTGGTTTACAGTAAATTAGACAGAAGTTTCAGCTGACTTCAAATGTCTATTAATTTGAGATTCTCAATCCCTACAAGAGTGAAATATATCTCTTGGATGCATGGCCCTGTCAAAACAGTTTCTTGATTTATTCATATTATATAGTTG